ATCATGACATTACTGAAATTCTTGCAATTAAAAAAATAGGTTTTTTTTTTCTTTGTCCACGCTAATGACAGAACCGATTTGACTAGTTTTCAGTAGTGTATTGAGAGAAACTTAAAGAAACAATATTTGTCTCATTCAAGTCAGTTGACGTCCAAAAGCAACGATGACCATTAACCAAAAAACAAAAGATATTTGAGGAACGCGACTAACTTATGATGACTCGCATTAATTCTCAGTTTAATATTTTGGTGACCTAACGATTATGATGGGTTTATTCAACTCTATTGCGATTGTAACCAATAAAACAAATTATAATATTACCGTTAGTGACTTCTTGTACATTCAAGTTTCGCGTGAATTGTAATCGGTAGGTCAAAGTTACATTAAATTATCACAGAAATATCGTTACGAAACGTCTTAGCGACAATTATTTTGTACGAATCGGCTCGTATTAAGACAATTAATTCGGAATTCAGAAAAATATTTGTAAAAAAAGAACAAAGAAATGAAAATATTTTAGATTTGTAGCGCCGATTTGTTTCGATAAATTCTTAGTACAAACTGATCATTTATTTTAACTAGATTTAATTCAATAAATTTCTTAGGAAATGTTATGAAATGTGCATTTCGTAATACTCTAATGTTTGTTGAGATTTTATTAGTTAGAATCATCGAATTATGTACACGAGTAATTATTATTGTTGTTTAATGTTCTGACACGAGTGAGTCGTAGATTTAGATTATGAAGAGTTCGTAGTAGATAACCTTAATATTGTGCCATAGAACTATTGATAAACACGTCCTAGTATATAATAAGGGATATCTTTGTATTTCATAATTATATGTTACAATAAAACGAATTTTTAGAGATTTCGATTGGTTGTTTTATTATTTAAAAAATATGTATAAAATATTCGATTTATTTACATATTTAGAACATCTTTATGATAATCTCGAGGTTTCGAAATATATGTTGCACTAATAAAATTGACTATTTGTTAGCCACACAAATGTATGTTGTAGAAAATATAATAATAAAACTATAGTTCTTCCTTCAAGAGAAGACCTGTTTGTCTTTTTAAATATTATTTTTTTACCAAGTTGGGTAAGCGGTGTCGATGACCGGTAAGTTTTCGACTTTCATCGATTTTGTTTGGATAGTGAAGGGTATGTTGTTGAAGCGCAGTCTGCAAGGTCTGTCCGGGCGGGTCATGAAACAGAGCGTGTACAGAGCGGTCTCCAGTTCGGGGGAGGTGCCAACAAACATGTTCACTTCGGGCGCGTCTTTCGTTTCGCTCAACACCGAGTGCTGCTTGAGGATCAGTCCTTTCTGTGAAATTGGGATTCAGATTAATTTTGCTGCGTATTAAATGACGATAAAGGAATTGTTTTGGTTAATATGTAATGGCGGTAGAGAATGAGGAGCTATTGATACATAGCATTGCTACGTGAATGGACACAATAATAGCATCACTAATGTAGTAAGTGAAGTAATAAGAGTAATGAATGTCCGTTATAAACTTAACATACATAACCAATCTATATTTCCAATTCGGTTTTCTGGTGAGCGTTTTGATGTCGTGTAGATACCGTCTCCCATCTCTATTTCTGCGGCGAAGCAATAATGCTTTCCGATTTGAAGGGTAAGACATATCTTGCACTATAAAACTGAGACTTAAAATGTCTCAAGGTGGATGGCGGCATTTACTTTGTTGATGTCTATGGGCTCCAATAGTCACTTAAGCCTAAGTGAACCGTGTACTCGTTCACCCTTTTGGGTAATATAAAAAATGCGTTTTCATGGTCCATATAGTGTTAAGTGATTACCGGTACACCCTTAGATGTCACAAAGCCCACGTTGAAACACGAAATAGAAGTCTCAAAAGTATTCTACTTTCTACTATATCCGGCGAGAAACTCAGTGGGCTGTGTCTATGGGTTAGTTCACTCGTTGAACTCTTCGTCGTAATTGACGAGTACGAGGATGACGGTGATTGGTGCTCGAAAGACCTAAAAGCACTAAGAGTGATTCTGGGGGAATAAGTACGCGACGTCTCCTAGGTCGGATAAGTAATAAGCGATCACCACAATAAGATTTATCTTGATTTCGTATTGTTAAAACATACTAAAGTGATAGATTATTTAAAATTACAAACAATAGCAGCCAGTAAGCCTCTAGCAGCGTTTACTACCTCAGATCTTTATAATCTACGGTAAGATATGAAACTTGAATACTTACATTATATTGTCAATTTACTAAAAATATAACCTGCATATTGTTTCCTTTGTTTGAATAAAATCTATATGTATGAGGGAAATTAATAAAATTTAAATGGGTAGCAAACAAATAATGAACACCAGTGTCATCCAATGTAAACTAAAAGTAGATAGTTGAATAAGAATCATACGAATAGTACTCACGCCACTAAGATCCAGCTTGTCGATGTAACCCAAGTAGTTGGCTTTGTGATCTAATTCACGTTTAGCGAAGAACAACCAGCTGTGAAGACCTGAATTGAAAATATAAAAATGAGTATTTTTTTTATAGTAATTTTGTTCTTATCTTGAATTGATAATTTGTCCAACATTGTTAGTCGTTATTCTTGCGTTTGTTTGAGACCCGGAATTTTGCTTACTATTTTCATGCACTTAAGAACATTTTATTAATTTTTTGAATGATTACCGCTTTCTTTGCAAGTAAAAATATATTAAGATTAAAAACAATAACTAACTTTAAAGATTTAAGGTAGGTGCGGGTAAAATTTAAGGTTACGAATAAAGAATCAACGAATAATTAACCATTTTCATTATCTGTACCGTCAATCTGTTTAATATGGACTTACCTAGAACCTCGTTAGATTTGAGTTCAGCCATAAACACGTTCTCGAAGGCGCAGCTGCATTTGCAAAGGCCGGTCCAGTGGCGTGCGTACTTCGTGAACCAAATCTTTCTCAGCAGCTCAACTTGTTCGGGGTACTCATTCAGCTGAGTAATACCTGTGGTAAGACGTAAAATATGAAAGAGGAATTTAAAGTATCTACAGTAAAGGGTTGCGCGGTTGACACGGACGTCGTCGCATCGCCAACTGCCATTTTCCGGCGGTAAGGCGTAGACTTGCACGGATACCGCCGTTATTACCACCATATTGATTATTCTTGCCACGAAGCAGTCATGAGTTCTCGTTTGTAGACTGGACTATCAAGATGACTAAGGGTTTCGGTAACCAATTAAACCACTCTTCCACTCGTCCACATATACAACAAATAAATTGTAAGTGTAACAATAATAACACGGACTAATAAGTACGTGAAAATACGAATAAGAAAAATCCAAGAACGTTTTTGACCATAATGGAACTACTTGAATTTCATAATAAAATTAGAATGAATTTGTAAATAAATAGCAAAAATCAATTAGAGCAATTTTTCTAATATGCCTACGTTCTTAGATACATAAAACTATAAAAAGCTATAATGGCTCCGATCCATTCATAAAAGAATATAAAATATGTATAAATAAATAAATAAACAAACGACAATGAAGCCTATGTTCTACGGAGAGGATTAATAATTTCTTTTGCGCGTACGTAATGCCAATCATACCTACATGCTTCATTAGAAAAATAAAAGATCATATTTCATTTTACCATTACGACTGAACCCACCTTTGTTGACTAAGAAAGTAATGAGGCTCCTGATGGGTCCCGTAGCAAGAATAGTGTTGATGTAAGTGGTTTGTTCCGTTTCTTCCTGCAACATGACATCATTCATATCAGTTTACCTTATTTAATGACTTGTTGAACGTATGCACGTCGAGTGATTCAATTGTAACGTTAACTTACATTCGGCGTAACAAACTCTGGTCTGATCACATTCTTGTGATAGTTGTCGAATAATGCAACAAAAGGTCTTATTGTTGGTCCGCTCCATACATTCTCAGGAACGTTTAATAAACTGAAAATTTTAGAATATATTCGTGACTATAACGTTGAGATACCTACTTAATTTTTATTTATGTAAACGCTTTATTTTGAGTATTCGATATCGAAATGGTGCCTACAAAACTACGATTAGTATTTCTATGATATAATTTAAAATAATATATCAATAACCTTAATTTTTAATGTGATTTGTTTATACAACATTAGATAGTACGTAGAACAGATAGGTATCGATATTCACGGTGGATTGATCAAGAGCACGGGCTTAGACTGTTGCACGTATCGTACACGATATCAATTTAATATCATTGTTTATTTTTTATATATAATATAATACATAAAATATGTATTTTCTGATGTTTCCATAAAACGGGAATGTATAATGTATGAACAAAATATTCAAGTGCAACATTGCCAATCAGTTATATTGTAATTTGGAATCTAATTTAAATACGTAGGACCGAATAAATACTAGATATACAAGCTGTAACTTACTTCGATTGTGCTTCATCATTCCTAGACATAGGAGTGGTCTTGCCTTGTAAATTCACTTGAATGTAGTTGAAGGCATTATTTATATCTGCATTAAACATTTCCTCGCTAACTCTGAGGAGGTCATCGTCGGTCGTCGAATCTTGTGCTTGGCGCAACAAATCTTCGTAGCTCTTCTTCTTCGCATAGTCAACGACACCACCGACAACTGTGCCTATTTGCTGGAAAGTGTTTTGAGCTGTGTTCCCTTGCTGACCAGTCACATGATTGCTGATCAAGTTGGGAAGGATGTTGTTGAAGATCTGGCCCGCAGCCTGGGCTATGTCATCAGCGTGACATACCCCCAGAAAAACAAAGAAAATCAATGTAATTTTCATATTTGATTAATGCGTATGATCTAGCGCAGTCCCGGCGCACTAGTGATTTTAGTATAGAGCCCGCGCGGAGTGGGCGATGTTCGACCTTTGGGTGACGTCAGCTCCATGAGAATAAGTATATGTCCGTATAATGTTGAGATTCAAACAACGTGCTTCTAGTTTTTGCCTCGACATATGTCATGAATATCTTAGTACATTGGTAAATAAACAAATTCAACCTTCATTGTGACTCGCATGTCGCTTCCATAAAGGGGCACGCATCGTTTGTAATATCGGAAGTTTCTTTGAGTAGTTCTCATCTGTGGGTTTCGTTTAATCCATCATTTAAAGATATAATATTTATTCACTCTTCTCTTCATATATGATCACTAAAAGAAAGTTATGAGTGGAGACATTATCGCAAGTACAGATCGTCGCAGGCGAGTGCGCGCGAGAAATGCAGTGATAGCGTGCATTATTGCGCGACGGTGTTACGGGAATTTTCTTATTTTACCTTATGTATTATGTATAAGACCGTATAAGTATATAACACGTTCAATAATGACCGGACCAACACAATTATTTGATGTGCTCTGAATTACTAGAAACACCAACGGCGCATTACTATGAATTCACAAAATTCGTATACCTACATCTTCTAGAAAATTTAAAGACTATCATAAGATGATTTGTAAATAAATAACAAGCAACCACTACTGAGAACTTGTTATCACGATGAGGTCAGACCTGACAGAGGTCGCTTGGTTCGCGCTCCCCGTATCTACAGATCCGCAGCGCAGTATGCGTATTCGATCGAGTTGGATCGCTTAACCCTGACTAACGCACACGAAAAGTATCGGAGATCTCGAAAAAAAGGCTGTGACTGCTTTAGTCTTTAGACAACACCTGCGCGAGTGCCTTGTCAATATGAAGATCATTGGAATTGTTCTGTTATTAGTCTTTTACGGCAGTGAATGTGAGTATGTTTCATCGAATAACTGATTTAGTAATTTATTTGTGACATATTAACTCTATATAACCTTAGCGCTTTCTAATGGTCCACGCTTTGTTTCAGTTGATTAGATTAGGTTATAGTTATGAAAAGTATTTTAATTTCCTCGTCGAATTACAAATTATCAATCAAGAAATATAATTATGCTTAACATACAGCTCTTTTGAAGAACATCTTTAAAATCACATTAATGTCCGAAAATATGCATTATATGTATTTTTATATTTGCTAGGCGTATGACGTCATGCTAAGCCGTATGTTGAATCATGAATAAAACAATTACAGGTCGCAAGATTTACAAGCCGATTGACAAAAATGCCAACATCGATTTCATTAATATGGAAGCTGGGGGAGCGAGGCCAGTAGGGAAGCCAACTGATAAGCCACTCGCAAAGCCGCCTGTTGTCCAGCCTGCTCCTACACCCGTGCCTCCAGCTCAGATTAAACCTATCGTGACAACTCTAACGCCTGTACCTCCGAAGCCGGTTCATCCAACTCTACCGCCCAACCAGATTAAGCCTGTGCCTGTGTACCCTACTCCAGCGACGCGGCCTATCACCACTCCAGGACCTGGAAGCGTGCAGCAGCTCGTCACTTTCTACAACAGCCAGGGCAAAGGAAGTGTAATCAGGCCGTACAGTTACAGCGATGCCGTAAAGCAAGGTTAAACATTTAACGAAAATATCAAGGATTTAATATGTCTATTGTGGAAATATTGTTATTCTATTAAGACTTGAGATTTTTAAAAGCACGTTTTCAATTGGCCGTAGAAAAAACAAAAACATTTTAATTTGTCTTTTAATTAAATATTTAACTGACTGTCAGTAGAAGTGTAGAAAGTGGAAGGTGCTTAAAGATTTAATTTATGTAAAATAAATTAATGCTGGATTTTAAATTAAATAATTACTCTGATTTCAGTTTGTTTTAATCTAAGTTATAAGTAATTGACTCGTATTCGATTTTAAAAAAATTACTTCACGTCAGTACCAGATAATTGTGCTGATTCTTTTGGTTTTAAATGTTAATTTTCTATCAACAACATGTTCTTTCTACTAGGGATTGATTTTAATGGACAGATCTGCGTCCTGTTTCTTATCTTTTCTCTGAAGTGGAAACTGATTTCTTTCGCATTTTGCAATAAAACCATTCAGTTTGACTGGTTTTATTGGTAGTGAGATCACGACATCATTGTGTGCTAAATGGTTACCGGTGACCTAAAAACATGACAGTGTCAATGACGCCACGCACTTTGATATAAGAAGTTGAAGTTCCGCCTGTATTGAAAACAATTGTCTGCCTTTGGGCAGAAATAGAATGGCATCTGCCCACTCGGTCTTACGTTGTGCTCTACCTAGAGTAGGCAAAGGCAAATTTTGCATATAATTAATAAAATATTTTCAATCCCTGCATCAAATTTCATAATTTAATTAAAAATGGATACACTGTGAAACATCACAAGATGCTCACCCCGCAAGTCCGCTCTACTTAGTGAAAGTGTGAGCAAGCAACGCTGCAACGGACGGATGTGGTCGGGGACTGAAACCTTACACCAATCGAAATTTCGAACGTAGTGTAGCATTGATGCAGTAACATGACTGTTCAATGCCGCCGGGAGCGTTGTAGTCAACCACCGAGTTTTGTACGTGCTACATCGCTGGCCATGATATAAATATTGTTTTTTTTTATTAGATGGGTGAACCAGTTTCCGGCTCTTTTTGTGTTATGTGTATATCTATCTGAACCCAAAGACACAGCCCACTGAATTTCTCGCCGGATCTTCTCAGTGGGTCGCGTTTCCGATCCGGTGGTAGATTCTGCGAAGCACGACTCTTGCTAGGGTTTATGTTAGCAACGTCGTCAGGTTTGAACCCCGTGAGCCCATTTACTAGTTAAGGTTACGCTGAAATAGCCTCTCAAAGCTATCAGCTTAGGTAGGGAAAAAAAAAATTATGTGGTTGCCGGAGCTCATAAACAACCGTGAGACATTATATAGGTCGACGTCTCAGTTTTAATATATAAAAGCAATCTCACACTTTCATATCGAATTGAAATATGTATATGAGAGTGGATATAAACTCTGCATTAAAACAATGCATCATAGGAGCTTAAGGATAATTTACTTTTTTCAACAAAAAATATGAACGCAATCATATTTATTTTGTCTATGAAAGTCTGAAACTTCTTATTTCTTAACTAATAAAATTGCTTTGTATATCGTCACGGACTATATACTCATAAGACTTTCAGAAGAATTGCTTTAAATGCGAGACACGCATACCTACTATGGGTAAGCAGCAGCGTTCTAAACTAGGATTTACTCAAAACAATAAAAAATATCCTGAAGCAATAATTGAACATCATTACTAAAGTAGAAAAGTCAAATTGAAAAAATCATGTCATTTAAAATTAGGTCAAAAAATGTTTGCGGAATAATCTAAAGTTTCCGCAGATCAAAAAACACCACTGAAAGCACTTTTACGACTAACCGTTATTATTACAATGTTTAAAACTGTAATCTAGTTCCGCTCTTGTATTGCATAATACAGGACAGTAGGCTTGCGAGTAAATGTGCCACTTTCACTTTCCGGGTGATTCATAAGTCTGCAGATACAAGAACAGGACGCCTTGCATTTCTTACATGAACGTCGATGACGTCGGTGGCATATTGTGTAACAGATTGTCCGCCTGCAGAATATTATATTAACAAAAACAATGACTCATACTCAACCAAATAAATTGAAGCCTAGTTTTTATTTGTAACGACATATAAATCGGAAGGAAACGTTCTTTATCAGAATAAAATATAACAAATATTTCGCAACAATTACGGTCTATTATTTTTGTTGTGGATCAACCACGTTCTGATTACTTCAATATAAAGCATCAGAATTGTTTGGTTAAGTTACTATTCTGAATACTCTTTATCAAATAAGCCTTGATCATTTTCTAAATCGAATTATAATCTCTATATAAAAATGAATTGCTGTTCGTAAGTCTCGCTAAAACTCGAGAACGGCTCAACCGATTTGGCTAATTTTGGTCTTGAATTATTTGTGGAAGTCCAGAGAGGGTTTAAAAGGTAGATAAATATGAAAATGCTCGGAATTAAATAAAAATAACAATTTTGTTTTTCCTTTGATGTGTCCCCCGTCGGGCGGATTCCTTATGTTTGTTTTAAGTTTATTTTATACGAAAGCTTAGGTCTTTTATTTATTGATTGAGGCACTAAGAAGTCTGCCGGGTTAGCTAGTATTAAAATATAATTTACATTTCACAATATCTAAACCGATATTTTCAATGTTTTCAGACAGAAAATTTAACAAAATTAAGATGGTTACGCAGAGGCCAACTACATACTTATTCACTCACACAAAACAAGTTACATAGAACGCATGACTCGAACACACTAAACATTAAAATAAAGCGAGATAAACAGATTTCTAAAAAGCGAAATTTCATTCTGTCTTTTAGTACCTCTTCGCATTTAATTACGTACTGTTTTTCAAGCAACATAAAATAGAAAATTGAATCTCATTGTACTTGCTTTCTTACTTTATTTTGTAGTAAGTTTTTGATTTCGCCACTACGAGCTTAAAATAACTAATTTAATAAAGATATTTGATCCCGTAAATTACAGTGCAAATTAAGCAATGATTAAATAAATACAATAAATATAATACAATTTTACATTTCGAAATATTCACAAACGATGCTTTTAGTCCTTTATTCCGGCTTTTTGTAACGCAATGATGAGATACATTGATAGCATCACACGAAGATGACTTGAATTATAATAGTCTTAGAATAATATGGATATGTATAACAAAATATTGCTGAAAGAATTTGTTAGGTGGTGTTTTCTTAATTGGAATGAGTGTTAAAATAATACCAATTATTTTCATAAAATAAAAATCAAAAATGTAATAGATCACAAGATTTTAGCACTAAAATTATACGATTGATTAAAAATATATAAATAAAAAAACAGTTGTAGAGTTCAGTGTATGAAAATCACCGAAAGCGATCTTTTGTCTTTTGATTTAATTATATTTAAAAAGGAAATCCCAGCCGCTGTGTTGTAAACTTTCATTGCACCACAATACTTACCCAGCGTGAGAGTTATGAAATCTTTAAGATCCGCCTCAGTTCCATTGAGGTACGCTTGTTGACTCAGAAGTAAAATTATGACAGACGACATGCCCATTCTAATGACTGAATTGACGCACGCGCATTACAAAACTGACTGTTGTCCATAAGGGTCAAATTCGCTCGTCACTACCCTATATAGCGACTGGAATAGCGTGTGTTATTGTTGGAGATGGTTGGCAATAAGCTTTGGCTTCTCTGGTGGTGATCGGGGGGATACGTCGCGGGGTGGATGCAGTCAGCCACCTTGAAAGATGAGGTCGAGCTATCATATCGTATAACGACTGTTTCGAGGCGGAACGCATGATTGCTTTGTAGCAGAAATAGGCAGCATGATGGCACTTAGCATTGGGGCATTACAATTGTGATGCTCTAAGAGCAATCACGCTAATTGATTCCGGGAGATGAATTTTAGCTACTTAGTGAAGTTCTTAGTGGTCGCGCATTAGATACGTATTTATTTAGATAAATCTGTGTTTTTTCTAACGAATTGGCCTCTTTCCATTTCTGTCGTTAAATTTTTATTACTGTAGTGTAGATATTATAAGATATGTAATATGGCGTGTATGTATGTGCGATGTCGGGCGACGCTCCTGCGAGGGCCGTCGTTCGCCTACCGCCACCTAAGCAAGGTGTGCCAAAAATGCCTAATATATCATCAGTATTTTATTGAAGAACCCAATGTTACTAAATTACCTTCACCAGCTTTTTTACCCATTTAATTAAATAATGGACAAGTTTTAAGATTTAAAATTTTTGTTAAAGTTAATTTCGACAAATAATTTAATTACACATCATAATCGATTGTATTTACCAAAACAGTTATGCTGGTAATTAAACAACGAATACCACGCCAAATGTATAGATAAACAACTATCTACTGAACAATGTGGTATAAAAACACTTTTTTTTTTAAATACACATGCGATGTAATGACGTATTGTAATGTGTATTCACAAAATTCCACTTTCACCTTTATTCAAATTTCGTTTTTCTAACTGATAAACAGTTACAATGGAATATTGACACATTTGTGGTAATGATAATGCGATGTAAGTAAGCCTCTTATGTAAATTGCAACAACGAAAACACGAGTAAAAGAACTGTGACTGATATAACATAGATTGGATTCGATTTGAGAAAGTTGCAACATGCTATTGTCGTGCTAAAACATATTTATGATTGTTCATCGGGAGTTTTTTTTATTTAACATGAGTATTTAATGGTGAATCATGAAGGAAAAGTAATTTTTTTATTGTATATTGAAACAGCTTATGTAGAATGAAAAAAAAAATAGGTTACAAAAAAAAAACATTCATGTAAAATATGTGTACATTAATAGGTCAGACCCATGTATGGTCATAAGAAGCCCAAAAACAACGGAATCATCAAAGTTCGGATATCTATGATTTCTAATAATCAGCTAGTAACGGATGAGCTTATTCCAGTGTAATAGCTGAAAACCACTGATTTGAAAAATACCCGCACCGGACATATTACGTATTTTGACGATACTGTGATTATAATCTTCTCTTCGATACTTCAAAAAATAAAAAGCTTGGAGTTGTTGTTGTTGTAGTTCTAGAGTCTCCCGCTGGTACACAGGACTATCACCTCACAAGTTGTCTCCACATCACCCTGTCTTGCGCTTGCTCTTTAACAAGTGAATTGTTCGATTTTAAACTGTATTGTAATGAATTGTAAACTTCATGGGAATAAACGGTGCGCGAGGGTATGATTGCGAAAGTACACAGATATTGGTTTGT